GAGACACTGCACTCATAACTATTACAAGAAAACTGGACAGAAAGAAGATGCATTTCAATTTGTGCATAACATATTTATTTGTAAGGTCTTCCTAATTATCAGTGTTATTTTTGTTTGAACTTAAGGCTGTTTAGCTTTTCCCACTGACAGAGAGGAAACAGGAAATTAAATTCACATCTAACTTGATGTTTTTGCATACCGTTTTTAATAAATAGTTGCCTGTGAGGAAATGTCATCAATAACAATTTGGCAATTATTTTTCAAACTGATACATAACACATTGGAGAAAAAAAAGAAATGTCCCTGTTCTGTGGGTTTGTAGGAATTGTGCTGCACAGTAGGGCACTGCAGAGAAATGATTTCAAATGGATTCCGACATTGTGACATTTTAAAAAGCCACAGTTTTGACTCCATCACATCCCTTCAGCACCATGCCGCACAACTTGGAAAAACACTGAAATGGAACATTTTGGCCTTTGTCCACAGGCACCTTTGGGCAGTCTGAGAGCTGGGGCGTCCACATCTCTTCTTCTTGGAAACATCCTGCTGTCCCCTATGAGGTCCTGATTGATCCTCTGAGTATGCCTGATCATGAAATTCTGAATGCAAACACACATCTTTCTGATGCCATCAATCCTGACGAAACTGGGGCTCATAGAGGTGTAGCAAAGGTGAGCTGCATTACTTCAATAATCATCATGCTGTGTGAGCTTAAACTATGTGTCTCTCTCTGTCTCTCCCTCCTACAAACGTTGAACTGAATTGTGCCTGCTTCTCTTGCGGCATAATTGCAGTCAGAGACACACAGTAAACTGAGACTTCCCCCAACATCCATCAGTGACACAGACATTGAGGAAGATTAAGAGTGCATTTTACCCAGAGGAACACAAGACTGGGTGAGTTATAACCATTACAACAGCAAAGACTACTGTATACGTGCTTTGGAAGTCTACAACGTGACAGATTTATATTAAGAGTGAGTGTGTCTTCTTTTGCATTTCAGGCTCTGTCATGAAACTGTCAGGCATACTAACAAGCTATCGAACCACGGCTCTCTGAAAGGCTTTGATGCTGTGGAGCCACACCGAACACCAGACCTGACCTCTCATTAGCAGCACTGAGAAGCTGGAGTCAACTGAATAAGATGAAACTGAACAATTGGGTCACAATTGGGAAACCGGATCATCCGACATTATAAAGACTTTCTTTGAAAATGGAAATAGTGAGAATGAGGGCTTTAGGTAATCATAAAAATGGATCATAATGGATTAATGAATGTGTGAAAACATGTGGATTGCAAAATTAAAAGGCTCTGAACAAAGTGGAAAGATAGGAAAAATACTAAGAAATCAGAATGCTTTGAGTGAGTGTTTTTTCTTAAACTGCAGGCTGTCATTTGCATTTTGAAACACACAACTCTCCAGGTCATAGTCTTGGCATGAAGTGAAGTGAAATAAAAAAAGGGTTGGAAAACCACTAGACTAGAGCAGAGGTCTTCAACAGGGGGTAATACTGCAGGGGGTCCGCGAAATTGTTGGTTGATTAGACAATAAAAAAAAAATTTTAAAATTGTTTTTTTCTCTAAACATGAATGTGTCCATTATTTTAATAGTTCAGTATTGTATGAAAGATAACAGGTATGTTTATGCATGGCAGTGCCACTAATAGGCCATCACTCATTTTTCGTTTCCACATTTATGTTTAAAATGAAAACGTCAATTTGAATAGCTTGTATGCATGATTATCATGCAATTGACAGACAATATTGATATTGGCATTGATATCAGCTGTTTATAAATGGCAGTGGCACGGCCTCCCTCCTCACTGTACCTTGCACATGTTTAAAATAAAAACATGAATATATGAACCTGTGTATTATTTGAATAGCTTAGTATTGAATGCACAATAAAGAGGTATACACGGTACTAGGCCCAGTTTAATATAAAACACAATTTTATACAATATATATAGTCGGGGGTCCCTGCTCCATCTCTCTATCAGTTTGGGGGTCCTTGGCCTGAAAAACATTGGACCCCCGGACTAGAGCAATAATAACTTTGAGATTCATGACTGCAGACTGTGAGGAAGAGCATGTTTTCCTCAGTATTCCTGAGACTTAAGTACACAGAGAAATCTCTGAAAACCCACTGTATGCCCAGCCAAACATCAGACAGACAAAATTAGCAACTAGCTAGTGAATATAGTGTAGTAGAGCATTAGGCAGCTAATAATCCTGATATATTTCCCTCAGGAGTTGGTTGAGACCACAACTGAGTTAAAAGGTCTGTGCCTTCATTCATCAGGTGAACAAAAAAAAGGAACTGTTTTAACATAAATGTGATAGTATTATTAATAGTAATTGATAATATTTCTGAGCTGTGTTTACATCTTGTTTCAGTGACCCCAAGTGGCCAAAATAATACCTGTTCTTGCAGATATTAAAACCTTTTTGTTTTGAACTACTGGCTGGAATAAAGAGAATTTTACGCTACTGAGCCAGTAGTCCAGATATCATATCCTTTCATATAACATCCTTTCTTTTATACACTTATTTATCTTCTTGATATGATGTATTATCCGTGTTTTGAAGGCATTATCTAGGATCTGGCATATTGCATTATTGATAAAAGCCGGCATACTTTCAAATTTGTCATCGTTATATGTTTCAGTTTATTCATGAGAAAAACATTAAAATGTATGTATTGCCCTTGTTGCAGTTGTTTTTTTAAAAGGGGGGGGGGGGTTATACACACCACAATTATTCTTCTAATACAGCACGAGCACTACCCTATAACATAATTACTCACATAGGTCTTTATTATTCAGGCATGCTCAATGAATATAAGTGCCTATAGAGGGAGGTCGAGGACAGTCATTTTGAAAGTGGAGGATAGAAATATTCTGGGTGGGAAAAATTTTAATTATAGGCCACAGCTGTCCACAAATCATGTGTTTTAGTTACACCCACGCTATAAAAAGAGTGTGATGTTGTAACCTAAAATATTCTGTTAATTACAATGACAATCACCCAGTTTTCTGCAGATTATCCATTTTTAAGGACATGTGCACCTCTCACAGTACTACAGACCCATGGCTTTCATCAGACACGTATAGACGCTTCAGTGACAGTGAACTGCCGAAACACTTTTTTTCTTTTGCCAGCAGTCATGGACCAGAAAATCTGACTGTGTTTCTGTAAAATCAAGTAACCGTCACTGTCCACAAATGTGCCCTTTCATTTACTGTCACAGGAGAAAATATCTTGGGTGGCGCTGCCTTGATTTTCTTGTGGAGAGACTTGTTCAAAGTCCCAAATCTGGACTGTTCTGTCAAAGTGCATTTGAATAAATGCCACTTTCACAGGATGTCGGGTATGCTGCTTCTACAACTGCACACCCGACAGAAAACCAATTATAAAGCTGTAAAAATGGAACGCCCATGTTGACGAAATGTGGCATTTATGGGGCTCAGAACACAGGTACTGTCAACAATGAAAGTTTTATTGATATTATATCGTATGTATACAAAATAAAATGAGACCATGTTTTATTTGTTTCATATTGCTTTTAATCAAAACAACTTGATTAGAATGCACATGCTTTGATGTTCCTTTTCTATCATTTAAAAGCTAAATCAAGCCACCACTGAGGTCAGGGCTGAGACATTGCTCTCATTTCTACAGGATCATTAAACTCTCAGCTTCTTTATAGCTCTCAGAAAAACACATTCCCTTCAAATTATGTATTTCATAACTGAGCAAATCCGGAAAAAAGACATAACTGAACTTTTATCCTCATTCTTCATACCTTCCAAGAAAATCTTCCTGTAACAGCAAACGCACAGGGGTAACAGGGCATTTTTTCAGTTACACTCATGTGTACCAGTAGTCCGGCATGCTAAATAGCCCAGCAACACCTAAATGCAATGTAGCTATTATTAATGTAATTTACTGATAGTTGCACATATGTTTGACATGTAAAAATGCCAAACTCGTAACTCATACACATATTTATAGGCCTAGTTCACCCGCACACATGGGTGTTTTCAGTTATTGTGCTTAATTATGCCTCTGCTTGGGTTGAATATCATGCTGGGAATAAATGATGTAACCAATTTTTATGTGCTCATAACAATGATGATGGTACAAGTTGTCAAACTCTAAAATAAACTGCGAGCCCTGACTGGCCATTTTCACAACAGCCACTTTGACTCGTCATTGTAAGAAAGCACAGGTGTTATTTCTAATATTAACCCTTAACTCCTCCATCACGGTCTGGTACGCTGCAGCCACTGCCAAGGACAAAGGCACAGACTGCAGCACATCATTTGCTATACATACATACATTACACTTGTTTTAAAGTAGTTATCTGTTTGTCTGTGCACTATATTTGATATTTTATTGTACATTTTAATATGTTTCTATTTTTTGCACTGTGTTGATCGTTTAATGTTAAGCACTATCCCACAGGTCAAATTCCTTGTATGTGCAACATACTCTGGCAAATAAACGGTTCCGATTCTGATTCTGATGGCGGCTTCCCATTTAGGGTTTCCAACAGCAGGGACCACTGGCATGGTTTACTGGGATGCCCAAACCGAATGGAGCCATTGTTCATTACAGCAATTATACACCTGGGTCTTTCCTGCTATGACAAGACAAAATGTCTGGTGTGTCAAAGTTCAGAAAATGTAAGTCATTGTCCTTGGTATTGTTCATCAGAATTATATATATATATATATATATACAGTATAATTATATATATTTACACAGCTAGATGAGGCCTTTCACTCCACATGGTCACACAATGTTAAATACAGCTCCTTTAATGAAGATATTCCTGACCTCAGTATTTTTTTAAAAATCCTGGCTACGAGCCTGTTCAAGTTACCTCTGGATGAATTGCATTTCTGCTGAACAAACTCTATGCAGCTTGAAACTGGAGTTTAACAAGAAGCACTTGAAGGCAGCAGCAGTGATCCCGTGTTTCTTTTCCCCATCCCGCCAGCAGAGCGCGTGCCTGCGCCTCGTACAGAAAACGGGGATACCTCTCTTAGCAGAGCACAAACCCACTCCCCGTTTTCCGTGAAACTGTGAGCAGGAAAAGCTCTGTTGCTGTTGTTGTTGTTTTTAAAACATTGTCAGAAAGCCCATGCACTGCGAGCTCTCTCCACCGCCTCCACTGCTCACAGGATGCTGTCGAACGACCCTCACATCGGGCACAAACTGGCAGGCTGCTTGATTTTCCTCTCCCTCTGTGAGTACTCACTTTACTTTCTAATGTTCATGTCAAGGGGGCCCCTTGGACCACACAGCTGCGAGGGACGCACCGACAACCTCCGCTATTAACGGTGCGTGCTGTTTCCAAAGGTGAAGCTCGTTGTTTGGAGCGAAGCGACGGCGTAGAGAGCAGACGAGCCGTGAGCGCATTTCCATAACTGTTTGAGAAGTGCGGAGCCATGATTCAGCCTCAACTTCCTGAGGAGTTGAAAGGCGATTTGTTCGCGTACTGGTGTGCCATGTGGGTTCATGCAGACCTTTTAGACTGTTAAGTTTACGCTCAGAGTCAATCGCGTGAAAACGTATCTGAAAGTCGTCTCATTTGGAATCAGGGCATTTGCTGCTGAAATCCGCTCGCAAGCGGCGCAAAGTAGCTTCTTCCTGACACATCGACGTGTGCACTAGCGGGAGTCGAGCCCGCGGATGAATGCACCTCGGGCTATAGCTACTGTAACCTTTACCAAGTTCTCTCCGTCAGTCTGGATGTGCAGCAGGAATTCAGCAACTAAAGTAGAAGAGTTGACGACACACCGTGATTCATTCCTCTGTCTGTTGCCATAGAACGGGGGAAAAAACCCTATTATCTACAGTCTCACCAGCTTAAGAGGACTGAGAGTGTTAGTGCACTTTTATTTAAGAAAAACAAAAAAAGTTGCATTCGCTGCAATTTTTAATTTGTAATCACCTTCCATGGAGTTGATTGATTAATCGGACAGATAGTTAATGGCTTCGTGTCAAATCAACTTGCATGCTATGCCTGTCATCATTAAAAAATAGAGATCTATACGTGTCCTGCACGTACAGAATAATCTACTCGGCGATGTGGCATGCACATTGGGTGGGGTGCGGCACACACAATGTGTGGCTGCAGCTGTGGAGAGGATTACAGTGAGTAGTGACCGACATTGCATTGGCCGTGTGTACCATGTGGATGTCCTCCTGAACTGCGTGAGATTCACGCTGAGCGCAGGACACTCTGTCCGCCTTGCTGGGTCTGAAAACTGTCACTGCAATAATACAAAAAATAAAAAAAATTGGCCAGAATATACACAAGTATCCGCAAATATTTAAGCACTGCCAGAAAAAGGGGAACATCTGCCTGGCTAAATAACACAGGAAGTAATAATGTCATGTTCAAGAAAACAAACAGATTGGCTACAGTGTTGATGAATCCTAATGCTGCAAGAAATTGCTTCTGTATTATTAATTGGGGTCGACATACCATAGGATAATCAGGTTATTTTTTCGATAGTGAAATTGTTATAGCGAGAGAAAGGAAGGTGTGTGGGGGTGGTGGTGTAATGATGCCTTTTAGAGTCATAAACACACGCATTAATCATAGATATTGTATGCACATATACTTACTAACCCACTATTGTTTACATGCAAATCATTGGTAAAGTGAATTGTTGAAGGGCCTCTGGAGCTTTCTAGTCCCTTCCTCTTTGAATCAAGTCACTTAGATCATTGGGAAGTGATTTATCAGCGGCTGCCATGCATTTATGAAGCTGCTCTCATTTCCTCTTATTTTGGCACTGACTCCATGGATAGTCCTCTGAAGATGTCTTCATACCATTGCGTTACCAGTGGTTTTAGTTTTGGATCCAATTGAATAGTATGCAGAACGTATGGGAACTGCCCCGGTTCTTTACAGATATTACATTTCAGCATTGTACTCAACTCCTCTCCTATATATGACCAGAGCTTAGCCATTTTAGAACTGTCCCAAAAACACTGCATACAAGCTCCAGCTGACACTCATGGTACACAGAGGCTAGCTGCTGGGCTCATTTGTTCTGTATTGTCTGTGTAGTATCCGATATTGCATTTCCTTAAATCTATTACGTAGAAAAAAGGGAGTGCGAGGCTCAGATACAGTCGTCCCGTCCTTTTCATAAACAGTTTGAAGATCCGTTTCCCATCATTCCACCACCTTATCTATATTTTGTTCGTTATATAGGAAGGTGTCATGGGAATATTTAATACAACCTTTGTGTCTTGTGTAGTGGGTGATAGATGTCTTGATTGGCCCAAGATAGATCTTGTCCTGAGTTACCTTGTATCTGTGTTAATAAGGTGGCGCAGGTGAAGATAAGCAAAATGTAATTTTGACCAATTTAATGCCCATAAGTACATTATATCCTGCCTTGGAGAAAAATAGCACTTTTAATTCCTGCAGAGAAGTTCCTGTTGTTTATATCAGAGTTTCATTTTTTTTTTTTTTTGCCATGCCATATAAACTTTGAGAAGTCTCTCTCAATCTCCTTAGCTAGTTTGTATAATGAATTTTTCGCCCACACTTTGTCCCTTTTTCTTTAGTTCTTCTCTGCTCATCTTTTCACTCTCAATTCTTAACTGGCCAGGGGTCAGTGCTGCATTTCACCGGTACCCTGACGAGGCTGCTGGTCTGCTTCCCCCTGTATGCAATATTCATGGCGCTAACATCAAGGTGTAGCCAAGGTCTGGAGAGAGTCCAGTTTTGTGACATTAGGTATGCCACCTCTGCTGTTTTTCAATTATGTTGTTCATGAGGCTTCAACAGACCGTCATTTCTGATGTGCACTGGAGCGGTCCGAGTGTGTCGGTCTGAGTTACAGAGGCGTTACTTAATTCTGGCTCTTGTGGTAGCTCCACAAAGTCTGCATGTGATTGTTGATGGGGATACCACCATTGCGCGATGTTTTGGGCAGAGAATGATGTACACAAATATGCTGTTTTTTTTGCGAGTGTGGTGAAACACTGCATATGTCATATTTATTGCAGCTGGAGATGATCTTCATACGCTTGTTTGGTTGGTCGACGACAGTTTCATAGCAC